TGGACCACTCAATTCCCTTTGAGGAGGAGTTACACATTCTTTCATTCAGTAAATGGGAGACTTGAATGAGTGACTTATCAATGCTAGTATTCTAAGAAAACACAGCATGTATAAGTCATATACAAGACACAAATCTGAATACTCTTTTCATTTGTTTTTTATTGACATAAAACCATACATATATACTTATGAAGTGTAATGTAATGTTCTGGTCCATGTATATTTTGTGTAATCATTGAATTAGAATAACTAGCACATTGGGCCAGGCATGGTAGCCCAGTGGCTAAAGTTCTTACCTTGAACGCACCAGGATCCCATATGGATGCCAGTTCTAATCCCAGTGCCCCCACTTCCCATCCATCTCCCTGCTTGTGGCCTGGGAAATCAGTCAAGGATGGCCACAGCCTTGGGACCCTGCACACGCGTGCGGGAGACCCGGCAGAGGATCGGCTCAGCTCTGGTTGTTGCGGCCACTTGGGGAGTGAGTCATTGGATGGAAGATCTTCCTCTCTGTCTCTTCTCCTCTCTGTATATCTGACTTTACAATAAAAATAAAATAAATCTTAAAAAAGAAGAAAAGGATAGCTAGTACATCCATCACCTCAAAGACTAATTATTATTCCTTTGTGGCCAAAACAAAAAAATCCTCTCCTATTGTGCCTCACAGTGCATTGTTATAAATAGAAGTCGATACTTGCCGTATCAAAGAACACCAGCTCTGATTTCTATTAGGTAACATTGTGCCTATAGACCGACTTCTGTCCATTCCGTCACCTTCTCCTCTTTCCCAGTCTTTAGTAACCACTGTTCTACTCTGAGCTTCTTTGAGGCCAACTTTTTCAGAATCCACATATAAATGCAATCATGTGGCATTTGTCTTTCTATGCCTGACTTATTTTATCAAATTTAATGTCCTTCGCTTGATGCATGTTTTGCAGATGACAGATTGAAACCATTTTTAAATGGTTGAATAGTATTATGTAATGTGTGTACATAGCACATTTTCTTGTTCCATTCATGTGTTGGTGGACATGTACGTTAATTCCATGTGCTGGCTATTGTGAGTAGTGCTACTATAGATGTGGGGCCGCAGATGTCTCTTTGACAAACATTGTGCTGATGATTTAATTTTCTTTGGATATATGTCTAGTAAGAGTAGCTTTTTTATTTTTTAAATGGATGCTAAATATCTTTATGTTAACAATTTTGGCAACTTATGTGGAATACACATACTTCTTTAAAAACACAAATTCAGAAAACTGACATGGAAACATAAAGTTTTGGTAGCCCCATATATGTGTAAGGAAGAGGGAATGCTGTTCACTGATTCGCTTTCCAGATGGCTGCACAGCTTGCAGTTAGGTTCATCTGACGCCTGGAGCTAGGAGCTTCTTCTGGGTCTCCCAAGTGGCTGGCAAGAGCCCAAGCACTTGGGTTTTTTATTGCTTTATCTGGCACAATAGCAGGGAGCTAGATAGGAAGTAAAACTGCTGGGACACAAACCACCAAACCAGCACTTGGAAGGGATTCTGGCATCCCAGGCAGTGTCTTAACCTTCTGTGCCACAGCGCTGACTCCCATCCTTTCACTTCTTAGGATTCCATTAACCCTTTCTTGCAGGGTCAGTATGATCGTGAGGAATCCCTGCAACTTCAACTTGTCCCTGAGGCCTTTGTTTCTCCTTCATTTCTGAAGAGAAACTTTGCTGGCTCTATTATTCTTGGCTGGCATCTTCCCTCCACCCAGACTTTTAACATTTTATCCCACTATCTCCCAGCTTGCAGTGTTTCAAATGAGAGGTCTGCCGTTAATCTACTGGGGCGTTCCTTATAAGTGACTTGACACTTTGCCTTATTCCTTTTAGAACTCTCTTTTGTTTTGCATTTTTGGATGGTTTGACTCTACCATGACTCAGAATGGATTTTTGGTGGTTGTTGCTCAATCTATGAAGGATCCTTTGGGCTTTCTAGACCTCAATGTCTACATTGTTATCAAGGCTTCAAAAGTTCTCAGCTGTTATTTATCCAGTACATTTCCTATGACTTCCCCTCCCCACCCCGTCTTCTCTTTTCCTAATGCATCCATATTATGAATGCTTATTCACTTAATGATGTTTCTTAAGTCTTAAAGGTTTTCATTAAAGTTTTTCCTTTTATTTCATTGTCCAAATGTTATTTCCAGACTTGTCTTCAAACTCAGAAGTTTTTCCTTCTGCTTGCTCAATTCTTCTGTGAAGTTTCTCAACTGTGTTTTAAATTACATTTGTTGAGCTCTTTAGCTCTCTCTAAGACTTCTGATTGGTGCTTTATTTTTAATGCTATCTCTGCTGAATTTCTCACTCACGTCATGAATCATCCTTCTAATGTCATTAAATTGTCTATATTGTACCTAAGTTTACTTGAAATTATCCTTTTGGATTGTTTTCTAGAAGTTTATTTTTTATTTGAAAGTGTGGCACATGCACAGCCCTGCACATACACACACAGATCTTTTTCTCATGTGCTTCTTCGCTTCCCAAATTCCCATGACAGCCAGGGCTACACAAAGCCAGGAACTTGCAACTTCATCTGGATCTTCCATGGGGGTACCAGGGACCTACATACTTGAGTCATTATCTACTTCTTTCCCAGGTGTGCATTGCAGGGAGCTGGATCAGAAGTGGAGGCTGGACTCTATTCCGGCCACACTCATATGGAATGTGGATGTCCTGAGCTGCATCTTGACCTGCTGTGCCACAATGCCCACTCCTCTTTTGGAACTTTTTTTTTTCATTAGAAAATTCATCACTAGTTTTCATTTCTTTGTGGTCTGTTGCTGGAGAGATTTTGCTTTTCTTTTGGAGGCATCATGTTACCTTGTTTTTCCTGCTTCTTGAGTCCCTACGTTGGTTTTTGTGTATCTGGTGGATCAGTTGCTTCTATCAGGATTTTAGGATGACATTAAGGCTTTCCACTTGGTGACGTGTCCTGGAAGATTGGTTGGATATGCTATGTTGGTTTTGGTTCCAGGTTGATGCTTTAGTGTGGCAGTCGTGTAGCCTCTTCAGCTGTCATCAGTTTTGGAGATGGCTGTGAATAACTCAGTGACCTAGATTGAAGGATTGTGAGACTGCATCTCCAGCTGGGATGTTGGGATGTGACTCCCTTAGGTGAGGCAGGTTCACTGCCAACTTTTATGCTTAGTACTTCTAACTACAAGTGTGGTACTCATGTCAGTTTCTGATAGTCATCTAAGTATGGGGCCATCTCTGTGGGTCCAGGTGAGTATGGCACCGAGTGCCTGTTAGTAGGTTAGCTTACCTGTCAGTGTCTGAGGCCTGCACAGGGGATGGGGTGCAACACTAGGGGCACCCATCATGTCTGAGGGCAATGTAGGTAACCTCTTTGAACCCACCTTCTCAGTGAGGTCTGCCCAGCTGCCTTGCAGGGTCAAGGATAGGAGGGAGAGGTTGAGCACCTGCTTCTCAGGGGCTCAGGTGACTGAATTTCTGAGAATTGGTGATTCAGCTGCTTCTTGAGGCCCCAAGAGGCTGGGCAGGACCACTCAGCTTTTTCTATGGGCCTGAGCACATTGAACCACTCAGGAAAGCTTGTTCCATTGTTTCCTGGGGTCATGGGTGGGTTGAATAGGGTGATTTGTCTATATTTTGGGGCATCTTTAGGCCAAGTCCTGCAGGGACAATTTTCTGGCTTCTCCCAGGATTGAGGGTACATAGGTGGGACCACCCCCTGCATCCTCAGCAGGAGGAGGCTGGATGAAGCTCCCCACCTGTTTTCTGGAGGCGTCTAGAGGCTGGATTACTTGAGCTGTGTTGCTCAGCTTCGCCCTGAGGATGTGTGAGGGTGGAGAACATCTCTGGCTGGCTCACAGGGGTGGGTCTGGGGAGTTCCTGGAGCGGTTGCCTTACAAGCTGCTGGTGGGTGGGGTCCTAAGGTGTCTTCACGCAGGAGGCTGGATAGATGTACCATACTGGGTGGTAGAGCAAGTGCTTATCCTTTCTAAAGCCCATCAGAGTCCTTCTTGTTTAAGGGTTCAACTTTAGAGACAGGTGGCAGGTGCTATGTGCCTAGTGCTCGTGTTTACACCTGTGCTTACTTTTATACCTTGCTCCCCAATGGGTTCAGTCTCCTTCTTGGTTTGATCCCTGAGGTAGGGGCTGAGGAGCAAGACTATATGTTTCCATAGACTCAACCTGCAGGCTCTGTCTGGAACTAGATTTCACCTGCAGGTCTGGTACTAGGTGTGATGCCAAGAATTGAGCTTAATTCCTTCTTTCTCCACAAGGCGAGAGGTGTTCCTCTTCATACATGGTGCTTGAAGTTGGGAAAGAGGCTGGGAGCCCATAATTGGCTTTTTTAAAGATTTATTTCTTTTTAATGGAAAGGTAGATATACAGAGCAGGAGAGACAGAGAGGAAGATCTTTTGTCTGTTGATTCACTCCCCGAGTGACCGCAACAGCTGCAGCTGAGCCAATCTAAAGCCAGAAACCCAGAGATTTTTCTGGGTCTCCTACATGGATGCAGGGTTCCAAGACATTGGGTGGTCTTCAACTGCTTTCCCAGGTCACAAGCAGGGAGCTGGATGGGGAGCGGGGCTGCTGCGATTAGAACCAGTGCCCATGTGGGATCCCAGTGTTTTCAAGGCGAGGACTTCAGCTGCTAGGCCATCGCACCCAGGCCCATAATTGGCATTTTAAACCTTAGCTTTATAAAGTAGTTGTACAAAAAAAAAAAAATCAACAAAAGTACATAGGTGTATAATGTTGATTCTCCAAGTAAAAATATGAAGTTAATTTAAAAAAATAAGTTGCTGAATATTTTGCTTACCTTTCTATATATAAAGGACCAATTTTAAGACGGAGCAGCTTAATTTACCTTACATGATCTAAAATTTGTTGTTTTATTTGGAGGTTTAAAGCAGCTAATTGCAGAACTATCAGAGTAAGTCTGAAACATGTTATGAAATGATCACTGGCTAAACAGTTTCATTTAATTCTCAGAATTATCACCAGCCAGCCATCTTGAATTCATCAGCTCTTCGACAAATCGCAGCAGGCACAAGTATTTCGGAAATGTGGCGAAATGACTTACAGCCGCTGCTGATCGAGCGGTATCCGGGCTCCTCGGGAAGCTACGCCGCCCGGCAGGTGAGAACACATCGTACAACTTTACCGGCTACCGCCCCTTGCTTCTTGCATGGTGGATGCTGTTACAGCCCAAGGTCTGAGTCCTCCCATGGAAAGATGGCCTGTCATGTCATGCACTGCAGGAATCAACCAAGAAAAATCCAAAGAGAGTTGGAGAGTAAATGGCTTTTGAGAAATGTTTTGCTTTTTAAAAATTTACGTAAAATGAAAAAAAAAATCACGACACAGATTTAGGATATCCGTACTGCCTACCCCACTCTCCTGGCCTGCATTCCCCTCCCACTTGCTGTGTCCTTATTTCTATTCTGCGTTTTGTGATACATGACCTTCTATGTGTGTTTATCCGTGAGATCCCTGCCTTGGGGACATCCAAGAGGGTACCAGGTCCTGAAACGTAGACCGCTCCCATGACACACCCTGTGACCCCTGCAACCGGATTTTGTTCGATCTCAAACACCAAACATTAATAACCTTGAATAGATTTTGTTGGTGGTTTGGGGCCAAGACTGAGTCATCGTGTTGTCAGGTCTTAATTCCCCACAGGGAAATAGTTTTATTTTTCCTTTGTAACATAAAACATCTTTAAAAATTTATTTGACAGACGGAAAGATAGAGATTGACACAGATGGACAGAATGATGGTTAGAACCTGCGAATCCACTCGTTTATTTTCCAAATGTGAGGGCCAGGTTGGGGCCCGGTGGTAGCCTGGAGCTGGGGATGCAGTCCAGGTCTCCCAGGAGAGAGGGGAGCATCACTCGAGCTGTCACCACTTCCTGCTAAGGTCTACACTAGCCGGAACTGCGGGCAGGAGCTGCAGCTGAGCAGTGAGCCCAGCTCCTCTGATGGGAGACATGAGCATGCTAAATACTCGGCTAAATGCCTACTTTACAGGAAATGACTTCTCCCCAGGGAGGGAGTTAAAACCATGGATAAGCTACACATTCTCTGGAATAGTATTTCTCTAACTCCTGCTATAAATATGTATATATATATATCTATATATTTGTATTTTATAACATCAAAATGCCTATATATATATATATATATATATATGTATATGCGCACAAAAGGTTTATTTTTATTGGGAAGTCAGATATACAGAGAGCAGGAGAGACAGAGAAGAAGATCTTCTGTCTGCTGGTTCACTCCCCAAATGGCTGCAACGGCTGGAGCTGAGCCAATCCAAAGCCAGAAGCCCGGAGCCTCTTTCTCCAGGTCTCCCACATGGGTGCAGGGTCCCAAGTCTTTGAGCTGTCCTCAACGGCCTTCCCTGGCCACAAGCAGGGACCTGGATGGGATGTGGGACTGCCAGGATTAGAACCAGCACCCATATGGGATTCTGGCGCTTTGAAGGTGAGGACTTTAGCCACTACGTTATCGCACCGGCCCAAAATGCCAGTATATTTAAAAGGAGCAGCAGTTTCATGAAAAACACACAGTACTTGCAGTTTATTAGGATCTTGTTAATTTTAGCTTGGTATACGTGTTTTTTCTTTAAAACATTTATTCTATTTTTATTGGAAAGGCGGATATACTGAGAGGAGGAGAGAGAGAGAGGAAGATCTTCCATCAGATGATTCACTCCCAGGTGGCCACAACGGCTGGAGCCTCTTCCGGGTCTCCCACATGGGTGCAGGGTCCCAAGGCTTTTGGGCCATCCTCGACTGCTTTCCCAAGCCACAGGCAGGGAGCTGGATGGGAAGTGGGGCTGCCGAGATTAGGACCGGTGCCCATATAGGATCCCGGGCGTGCCAGGCGAGGACCTTAACCACTGCGCCATTGCGCTGGGCCCGGTATGTTTGTTTTTTAAAATGCTTGTTCTGACCCAGTAGACTGATTTATGCCCCCAATGATTTTACCACTACCACTTGAGAGATGCCACTGTTGAGGTTTGAATAGGATATAAGCTGAACGAGGCTCTCAGTGTCTTTACTTCGGAAGTCATCCTGGATAATGTGAAAGCATACCACTGCATATCTTTCACAAGCTAATGCTCTTTCAAGAGGCAGCGTGGGGAGGAGTGAGACTCTCCCTTTGTGTCCTTCTACGGGACTACTCCACCTGCTTGACCCTTCAGACAAAAGGCCTTGGCACCTGCTGCTGTGCCCAGAGTGACACCAGCAAGGACCGACTGCCCAACTCGGCACCTTCTCTTCTGCTTGACGCATGATGTTTACCTTCTTCGTCTAGTCTAGAAAGCCATCTAGCTTTTGCTTCATTAGACTGACCTTTCATTTGTGCAGGTCCTGGGAACTGGATGGGGATGCATTCATTCCTTATTTCTAAGAGTGACTGATACTGATGGCTGACTTTGATTGCACATGTTCTAGGTTCCTCCTGTTGGGTTCCTTGCATGGATCATTTCATTCAATGTGGCCACAAGGCTGCTATGGGGGTACTATTGTTACCTCAATCTAGTGGATTAAAGAAGACTGGCTAGAGGTTTAAGTATCTCAGTTGACCTCCTCAGTCAAGGCTCAACGTCCATGTGACAGTGAGGCCAGAATCTGAGCTGCTTCGCGTTTCTAACTGATCACCATGGAGCTGGAGGAACGAGTTCTGCGTTCTCACAAGTTGATCTGCCGCTGTTTAAGTTGGACAGTGTGGTGCATTCATTACGACAATGCTGTGGGCCTCATCTCCATGCCTTTTCTTAAAAGAAGTTCAGGGCACTGAATAGTGCGCTCTCAAATCCTTAGTTCCTCTTGAAAGGACCTTAGTCTGTGATGCTCACTTGACTCAATCTTTTTCATTTTCCCATGCTATTTGCCCAGAAGGTTACATATGCCTAGAATAAATATGCATGCTTGTTGCACGACATTCCTCAGCTGCTGACTTGTTAAATCCATTAGCAGCAAGCATTGGCATTTGATCAGACAATATAGTATAAATAGTATGGAGATACTACTATGATTAAAAAGATATATATGATGGGCCAGGCGCAATAGCGTAATGGTTAAGGTCCTCGTGTTAAATGCACCGGTATCCCATATGGGTGCCGGTTTTAATCCCAGTAGCTCCACTTCCCATCCAGCTCCCTGCTTGTGGCCTGGGAAAGCAGTCGAGGATGGCCCAAAAGCCTTGGGACCCTGCACCCATGTGGGAGACCTCGAAAGAAGCTCCGGGCTCCTGGCTTTGGATTGGCTCAGCTCCAGCCGTTGTGGTCATTTGGGGAGTGAACCATTGGATGGAAGATCTTCCTCTCTGTCTTGCCTCTTCTCTGTATATCCGCGTTTCTAATACAATAAATAAATCTTAAAAAAGATATATATGCTTTTAAAACATGTTATTGAACCCATAATAACATTTTCCACTGTTGTATAAGAATGAAAAGAAACGAGAAAATCATTGATCTAAAATCTGTTCTAGAATGTGTTGGGAACTAAATTGGGCTATATATGCATACCTAGCTGATGCAGCACTAAGCGTAAAGGATGTTAGCAATCTCACTTAAGTGATTCAGGTTTATACTTTTATTTATTTATTTCTGCTTTTATTCAACTAGCTGTGAGACAGAGAAAGATGGAGAGAAATTTCCCATCTGCTAGTTCACTTCTTAAATGTCCCCCAAACCAGGGCTGGGTCATGGCCAAGCTAGAGCCCCAGAGCTCATTCTGGGTCTCCCGTGTGGTGACAGAGACCCTTGAGCCATCATTATCTGCTGTCTCCCAGTGTGTATCAGCAAGAAAGTTGGAATTGGGAGTGGAGCTGGTGTTTCAATTCAGATGCTCCAACATGGGATGCAGGCATCTCACATGTGTCTTAACCACTACAGCAAACCCCGCTCTAGCCCTGTCCTCATTTTACAGTGTAGATGCCTACTTGCCTGAAGGATAACCTGTATCCTAAGTGCCTTTAGGCAGGCCTAGGGGTCCTCTTGCTGACTGAGACAGGAAAGCACAGTTGCTGTGGCCTCCCTGCTTCAAGGATTATTTCCTGTGCAGGCGATGCTGAGAGGAGAGAGTCATTCGGGAGCTTCCCCAAGAGACTTGTGGGAACTGGAGGTCTGAATCTGAAAGCCAAAAGCACAGCCGCTGGGGCTATTGATTGGTGACCTAATTGAATTTTGCAGCCAATTTGATTGTTTATAAAGGTACTTTATCTTAGTTGCTAAGACAAATAAGAAAATATTTACACTGAATTAAAAGGTGGTATTTCACGGAGAACTCTGGGGAGCATTTGCTGGTTACTTTGTGGGTTTGGGTTTCAGTGCAGACATCAGGGATTGTGGTCAAGAGCTGATGAATAGCTGAGCAAGGAGCTTTTGTGTGTTGGTGTCTGAGCCGTGCTAAGAGATAACGTTTTAAAAATCCCCAATTCATTTGTAAGCTTGAAGGCTGCTGTTGGCATTGAAGAAGATGTTTTTATGGAGCAGTTCCTCATCTGGATACCAGATGTTTTTGAGTATAAGAGAATACACTTCTACTTTTTTTTAAAAAAGATGACCCTTTTTGTGGAAATATTTTTAAACCAAAATCTAGAGATATGTAATGTTCGTATTCTGTGGAAATGTAAGTTAGAGACACAATGATTTCCTTTATCCAAATTACTAATGATGTTCCATAGCATGAAGTTTTATACATTCTTCTGAATCAAGCCATGTTTGCTGTTACAGTCTTACTCATTGTTGGTTCTCTGTGAGCAAAGCCCAATATTAAGAGTCGTGGAGGGCCTGGCGCGAAGGCACAGTGGTTAAGGTCCTCGCCTTGCACGCCTGGGATCCCATATGGGTGCGGGTTCTAATCCCAGCAGCCCCGCTTCCCTTCCAGCTCCCTGCTTGTGGCCCGGGAAAGCAGTCGAGGACGGCCCAAAGCTTTGGGACCCTGCACCTGCGTGGGAGACCTGGAAGAGGCTCCTGGCTTCGGATCGGCATAGCATCGGCCGTTATGCTCACTTGGGGAGTGAATCATCGGATGGAAGATCTTCCTCTTTGTCTCTCCTCTCTGTATATTTGCCTTTCTAATAAAAATAAAATGAATCTTTAAAAAAAAGGAGTCATAGAGAACAAAACATGAGATACAAATGTGGGTTTCAAAAAGATTGTGAACATTTCTTCTGGTGATGTTCAAAGACAACACGCAGACTTAGGACAGAACAGGTGGGAGAAGTGCTATGTGGGCCGAAGTCCAGGCACCACAGGCTACGAGGACAGAATAACTGGCCATTAGTCTGTTTTGCTTTGTTTTTGCTTTATTTTGGCTTTTGCAGCATTGACTGTAGAATGGGTTGTCTCCGCCTGGTTAAGTTCCTCTCTCCTTGGAAGCTTCCTGCTGCAGTTTTTTTCCAAAGCCCTTTGCCTACGTGTCATGTGACATCTGGGAGCTTCAGGCCACATGAGACTTGGCTAGGATTGAAAATCCCTTGTTTCCTTGGGATGAGGGGCTGGAAATCTCCCATTCATTTCCACTTATTGTAAAGTGATTCATTTATCACTTCAAGATCCATCCCCAGGCGATGTTAATTGTGGGAAAAGTTGTTGGTTACTTGTCATTTAACTTTAAAAAATAATAATAAGAAAAAGCATTATGGCAACTTCTAAAGATGAGTACAATACTCTATTATATGTTTTTTAAAAGGAACACAGTGAGAAAAAGATGAGGCCATGAGAAAACAAGGGTGGGAAAGAATAAGTCACACAACAGTAAAACCACTTAGTAACTTCTCACACAACTTCCAGATTCTTAAAAAAAAAAAAAAACAAAAAACAAAACCAAACCACTTCCAAATTGTATATAGGTATCCCAGTCAGTATCTTAACCATTGCACTGAACGCTCAACCCCAACCCCTGTACCCTCAGTTCTAGGTTCTTAAAGAGGGCACTTCTAGTCTCAGAAGTGGTATTCCTTTCTCCACACGCTATTTTCCCCTACAAGTCACTGGGATGCCCATTAGGCACAAAGTAGCCAGGAGAAATAAGTAGAGATTCTTTTTTTGTTATTTTTTTTTAAGCATTTGCACTGAATATGAACCTACTTTGGATGCAGAGGGAAATTGACTTGATTTATCATACTGGTTCAAAGTTGCTTATTGATTCCTACAGGAGGCAGTAGCCTCAACCATCCCCTTTTAATGGAATCATTTTGCATTGCCCTTAGCAGGTAGACACCAATATCTTTCATTCATGTTTATTCCATATAAAGCGTTTGCAGGGCTTAGGCACAGGCTATGTGCTTGGAACCAAAGGAATTATATTTTGCAATTCTCTGTGTCAAAGAGCTTAGAGGTCTGAACCCCTGGTGGATCTGCTTTCTCAGACATGTCTTCTTAGCCTCCTAGAAATACTGAAAGTGCATTTTAATACTGCTGAGCTGGATCTTTATCTCCTGACTCACAAACATGTCTGTAAGATATTGCTAGGTGAGGAAAGCAAGGAGTAATGTGTAAAGTGAGATTTGTTTCCTATGTCACACCCTTCTACCATATATATGTGTTTATACGCTAGCAGAAATCTGGGTAAGTGAGGTGAAGCTACGTGGAAAGCTCTCCATCCAGTTATTAATCCTGATTAGTATCAGCGGTTGGTCTAGATTTATTGATTGGGAGGCTAGGTGAGAGAAATGATTAATTTGTACATTAAACAGGAACATTTCTATTAAGTAGAGTAGCGATTAATAGCAATGTTATAGCTATTAATACAATAAGCATGGTTAACAAATGAAAATTATTGGTTTAAATGTGATTTTCTCTTTCTCTCTTTTGTCAGCACATCATGCAGCGGATTCAGAAACTTCAGGCTGACTGGGTGGTGGAAGTGGACACCTTTTTGAGTAGGACACCCTACGGGTTCCGGTCTTTCTCCAATATCATCAGCACCCTCAATCCCACTGCTAAGCGGCACTTGGTCCTTGCCTGCCACTATGACTCCAAGTATTTTCCTCACTGGGACAACAGAGTATTCGTGGGAGCCACTGATTCGGCCGTACCATGTGCAATGATGTTGGAACTTGCTCGTGCCTTAGACAAGCAGCTCCTTTCCTTGAAGGTATCTGTTAGCTCCTCATCAATTTCTAGGATAATATAGATCAGCAGTAACTCAGAGTGAATTCTATGATGCTTGAGGGGGGTGAGAAGGTCACTCAGGCATGGAGACTTTGGAGACATTTTTGCTTCATATGTTACAAACAACATGGGATTGAGGGAAGACGAACTGGGAAGATTACATAATTTCACATGTCAGCCATGGGCAGTGAATTTAAACCATGTGACAGTGCTCTCCCTAATTGGTACCTGACTTTTCAGCCTTGAATGCAAATGAAAATAATGTAAACTTTCCTTGCAAGAAATGCAGAAGGAGGAGGATTGTACAGGCATAAGTATGTACACTGTGTTTTATAATGAACCAGGTTTATTTGTTCTTGTTTGTACAGCCGTGAGACATCTTAGCCTTCTGATGTGAGAAGTGGTGGCGCTGGCTCTAGGGTAGTGCTCTCTCTAAGGCAGAGAGGGAGCTGCATCAAAGCAGAGAGTGGGTAATTCAGACATATCAAGATGAAAAGCATGAAGCAGAAGTGCATTATTGTTATTATCTGTGAATCTCGGCTCAATTTTATGTAGCATAGCAGGGCTTTTGTTGTGCCCCCAGCTCAAAATACTTCTGGGGCTCTCAGATGTTATTTCAGTCTCTGCCGTCGTAAGGGTATATTGGAAAAAAAGTGCTAAACTAGATGAAGACATTTTGTTCTGATATCACTCAGAACCAAGTAAACACAACCAAGCAACGCCAAAAAAACTTTGTTCACAGGCAACGAATGTAGGGTCCTGCTTTTGATACAATGCAGGCAAAGAAATAAAGATTTATCTTGTAATGGAAGTAATAGAGGTATTCGGTTCCATTGTTGCTAGATATGCTGAATCTGAAGAAAGCGAGAATTGTTTATACCTTCTCCGTACTCTTTTTGCTGTTTTTGATTTTGTTTTGTTTTCTGAATCTTCTGTAATGCTTTGGTCCCACGCCTGTCCTGCTTTTAACTTGCACTCTTTCCCAACACTGATGTGAGAGAGGTCAGAAGCTGATATAAAAGTTGGATTTTTCAAATTGGTATTTCTGGTGTTACAAAATGAAATTTAACGCCTTGTGACGTAACAGCACAGTTCTGTATAGTAGGTATGTTTTCTCATAAAGTTCCTTTTCCCATCTAGCTCATGACTGCTTTTGGTGCCTGGGAATAGAAATGGCCAAGTGAGTTGTTGGATGGGGCTCCTCATTAAAAATTTGAGTCAGCATATGCAAGAACACCTCAAAATAATTGTTGGAAAATGTAATTAAAAGTTATGGTTACTTTGGGTGCAGGAAAATTTTCAAATTCATTTTAAAACAATTTTTCATTTTATGATTCCCACGTACACCTGGCAGATAGGCTTGTGTGCCAACTGCCCCTCTGCAGGAGGTGGGAGGACATTTTGCTGGAGAAATTGAACTAGTAGGTTTCTGGACTTGGAGATGCCAGGGGTCACAGGGGGCAGTAGTGAGGTTCCCTGGGGAAGGTCTCCACACTGAACAGTGACATGTTCAGTCTTTCTCCCATTTTCAGTAACAGCAAGCCAGTAGCCAAGTTCCATTCATGCAATAGAAAGCTTGAGGGTCCTTTATGGAGAATGTATGCTCTCTCACGGGAAGAAAAACTACAACAAAAGAAGTGCCAACAGCAGCATTTGGAGCTTCTCAAAGAAAACATTGACTGGACAGAAGATAGCTCTGCAGTGAAGCCAATTGGCATCTCTAAGCAGCGTTTTAGTGCTTTATCCTTTAATATGAATGATCACAAAGACCAGACATTTGAGGCCAGTCTTCAGCATAAAAGAAGAAAAGAAAGCAAGATAAATAAGATATATTGAAAGTGAAGTTAGAGGAAATACAGTACAAGAGGTGCAAGATAATTTGAAGGACACTGTTCTTAATATCCTTAAAAGAAATTATATCCATGAAACAGGATCAGAGTGCTGCGATAGCAAAACAGTCACAGAATAAGAGAGCTCTTGGAAATAAAAATGTTATTTTCAAAATAAATGAAAAAATTAGTGAAATAGTTGGACACATTAGTAGAAGATATCATTTCTAGAAAGAGAAACAAAACAGCAACCAAAAGGAATTATTATTATTGCTAGAAGATCATTTCAGGGAGTTTAATAAGTCATGTAACAACAACCAGGAATGAGAATGGCAGTGGACTTTTCAACCTTGGGAGCTGGAACACAATGAAATTATACCTTACACACTTAAAAGAAATTCACATCCTTAGTCAAATCAAATATGAGAATGGAATGAAGACATAATCAGATGTATAAAGGCTCAATAATTTTCATTCTCATACACTGTTTTAGAAGTTACTTAAAGACTTGCTGTGGAAAAATCAAGGAATAGTGAGGTTCTGGTGACTGGAGATCTCTTAGAGAAGAGTCAGGGGGAGTCCTCAAGGTGATGGTGAGGGGAGTCCACAGCAGGCAGATGGACACCAGGCCTCATTAACAGCCAGACCTAGACCAGGCTGGAGCACGTGGAAGGAGAGGAGTCCAAAACCAGACAGGCACACAAAAAAACAGGAATGTTCGAACACAAGATTGTGGAGATGTACTGAACTTAAAGAAAGTAAAGCCAATGAAAAAGAAGAGGTATATGGTGAGGAACTGTGGGAAATAAATTTGTTGAGGCAGGATAGCCGTGTGTGTGTGTGTGTGTGTGTGTGTGTGTGTGTGTGTGTAGAAGGGTGTGGGCGGTAGGGAGAAGGAGAGGAAGAGGGAGGGGAGGGAAGGTTTTTGGTTTGAGTAACTGCAGGAGTGGTGTTGCCAGCAGTGTAGCTGCTGTTGGTCATGCAGATTTCAGAGTAACGGAATTGACTTTGACACTCAGTATATGAGTTATCAAACATCTGTGTGGAACTAATCATTTGGCCTCTGAGTATACAGAACCAGGCCTGGGCCAGAGATGCATTGTTTGGAATTGGTGATAAATATGTGTATATTTATGTGTGTGTGCTATGTATGTGTATTGTGTGTATATGTTTAAGGGTACTTCAAAGGACTTTTTGCACAATAACGAATATCAATGTATGCAGAGAAGAAAGGAGAATCAAAATGTAAACCCTGGGGCTCTTGGTCAGCTGAATGGAACCATCAGTATTGGTTGAGCTGGAGAAATACAGTGGGCTGGGGCCAGATGAAGAAGGGGAGATGTGGGAGGAAGTGAGCAACTGTGTAAAGTGTTGTCAATGAGTCAAGAAAGATGAAGGCTGAGAGAGGACCTTTGAATTAAGCAATTTTCAAGTTGTTGCTGCCCTTGACAAGAGCAGCTTTGGTAGGTGGTGGAGATAAAGCCTGGTTGGCATAGATTGAGGAAGAGGAGTTGTGAGAATGGACAACTCCTTCAAGGAATGTAGCTACTAATGGGGATAACAAAATGGGGCAGTAATTGGCCAAAGATTTTATGATAAAAGAAGCACCAGCGTGGTTGTAGATTGATGGAATTTATTCAGCAAGGATGGAAAAACTGGTGTTTGCTGGGTGATTTCCCTGAATATATGAGAAGAGATAAGATTTAGGGCACAGGCGGAAATATTGGCATCTGATATGAACACAACAAGAAGAAATCAAGGTCATCAGTTGGGAGTGTGGATGGGTGAGGTGAGTTGGGAAGAGGAGGATGTGGAATCCTAGAAGAGTAGGAGGGTGAGTGAAAATACGATTCAACTGTCAGTCAACATGAAAGGCTAATGCAAGGCTTGTAGTCATGAATTTTAATGAAACCCTGATAGTGTGGTTACATATTTTTCTCTACCCAGGCACAGGTGTATGAGTGTAGGCACCAGGTAGGCAGAGAAGTGGACTTTATGTTGTTATTATTATTTGTCATGAGAGTTTGATCAAGGCAGAGAGGCAAAGAGCGGAGAGTGCGTGCAAGGAAGCGATGAAAATTATTGACTGGAACTTAAACTGACTCTGGTAAAGTGAGAACAACACAAGAGGTGAAGGATGTGGCAAGGTGAAAAATTCATAAATTAGGGATGCCAATGGGGTTGAACAATTGTGGTCGTTAGGGAACCAACATCTGCAAGGTTAGAGTTGCTGTCAGACAGTGGTAAAGCAGAAAGCCAGGCAGAATCTTAGTACTTCACCATTTGGCTCAGTCTCTTTCATAAACAAATCATTCCATGACACCCCCCCCCCCCAAAGGATCTGCATCTCATTCTGCCTAACTTCCCAAGGAGTTGTAAGTTACCTATGTAGCCTTTGGTACTTTTTCTATACTCCTGTGTTTGTTTTTTCTCTCTCTAACCTAACTAAAATGTGGATTTTCTTGAGGGAAAAGGTTATCAAGATTGTTCCTTGGGTCACTGTAACATTCCTAAGGCAGAGTTTGTAAACCTAGACTCTAAAAAACAAAACAAAACAAAACAAAACAAAACAAAAAAATCCCAAAAAACCCACATGCAGACTTAACTAGGGTGAGAAGCTGGAAAGTGCTTTAGTTGTTTCAGGCTGACTTCCCTAGGGAGTGGGTGCTGATGTGGAGGTTAGCATGTAGGTCATTTAGGAGGGAGTGGCCTTGGGTCCACGCAGGTAGCAGGGAGGGGAAAGAAACTGGACTAGGCTGAGGGAGAAAGCAAGCTGCAGTGCAGGTTCAGCAGCTCTAGCCAAGCTCTGGGGTGCTCTGGAGGTGCAGTGGGGCTTCTGAGAGCCCCAGGACCTGGAAAGGCCAATGGTTGGGTGTAGGACATCCCTACCAGGGGCAGCTGAAGCAATCATTAAAGTAGCTGCCAACTCTGCCAGCACCTTGGGCAATATCCTCTTGAAGAGGAACTGGGTGGCACGTCTCAGAGCTCATCATTGTCATTTCATCATTTTAAAGTTCTCTAACGAGTGAGAAAACATACATTCAGAGGGAGTCGGAGAAAGTGATACTAATATGGGTTAAAAGATGGTGAGAGAGGTGTGAGAGGAAGTGGTGAGCAGGCAAGTTTGACACTGTTTCACTTGCTTTTTTGTCTGTCATTCTTCATGGCACACCTCTTGGTCCAGTAACTAGAAAAGTGTGCTGCCATTTTTCAGTCACCACAGCACTTTGCCATCTTTTTCTTGTTCTTTTTGCCAGAATCTTTCAGACTCCAGGCCAGCTGTCTCCCTTCAGCTTATTTTCTTTGATGGAGAAGAGGCTTTCCTGCACTGGTCTCCTCAAGATTCCCTGTATGGGTCTCGGCACTTAGCTGCGAAGATGGCATCGACCCCGCACCCGCCTGGAGCCACAGCCACCAACCAACTGCATGGCATGGTTAGTTTCTATGGTGTTGGACCTACAGGCTCTGCCTCCAAGGAAAAGACCGCCAAAGCCAAGTAAAGACCTCAGAGTACCATGGCATCCCTGGATCAGAATGTTTATAGTAGAACATTCCATGTCAGGCTTTGGGTGTTTGAGGAATCCCAGAGCTGAAAAGAATGAATCTGGGTTAGGAGTCATGTTTGACTGAATGTAATTAGAGTAATGCAAAAGTCTAATCAAGGAAACATCAGTTTCAGTTTGGTCCCATGGGAACACCCCACTTTCCCCCACATGGAATTGCAATGGACGTAGCAAATCTCTTCATAGAGGCTTTTGTGAAAGCAGAGGAGGCTGGGGGGGGGGGTGTGAATGGCAATGAAGACTTTCTTTGATGACTCTAAAACATTACAGTGACAGCAGTGTTTAAATGACATTTTGATGTGTTGGTTTTGATGTGGCATTCCTGACACGGGAAGAGGGACATATCGATGCTGTCTTAAAACCCTGTGGTTAGCACTAAGAATAGAGACAACACACGGCCTTAACTTCATCCCCTTGCAAAGTGCACAGTCCCTTTCAGATCCCATGTCCTGCGCCTGAATCTCTCCCCGCTCTCATATTTGATCTTCATCAATTCCGAAGTCCTCATGAACTCCAATTTAGAACCGCCTGTGACCCTAATGACTCTGTTCTTCCCAGTGCTTCCTTCCATGTGTGACCTTCATTCCATCTAGGTGTTGCTAACCCCTCCACTTGCCCTTGGTTCTGTTCACGTCTTTCCCCTTATGTGTCCAGATGGCCACACTGAATGTCTTGTGTAAGTCTAAAATACTTCCTGTTGCCGTTGTCTTTAAGTTCCTGTTACCCAGTGGAAGTTCGCAATGGTCAGGGGATCATGGTCAGCGCCTCTTTCATTCACTTGGGCAGGAACAGCTAAAAGGGTTGGGAGAAGCAGGAGAGACATTGTTTCCTTATCAGTACAATTTCAAGACCTCATAGTGGTGCTTGAAACCATTTCCCCCCTGGAAATTGAAACTTAGTAGCTTATTCAACTTTTTCTTTTTTAACCTTTATTTTACTTTTATTTGAAAGAGTTACAGAAAGAGGAGACACACACACACACACACCCTTTCTGTCTCTTTGTTCAATCCCCAAATGACTGCAATGGCCAGAGCTGAGCTGGTTTTAAGTCAGGAGCTTATTTCAGGTCTCTCATGTAAGTGCAGGGGCCAAAGGACTCGAGCCATCCTCTGCTGTTTTTCCAGGCCATAAACAGGGAGCTGACTTGGAAGTAGCGCAGCCAGGACACAAACTACTGCCCATATGGGATACCAGTGCCACAGGCAGAGGCTTAGCCACAGTGCCAGCAAGCCTATTATTATTATTATTATTATCTTTTACAATGAGTATATTTAATTATCTTTCTTGGGTTTATCCGTACTGTGTCTTAGAAACATAAGCTGAACATACTTATCTATTCTGTGTCGGGACCTATGATAAATATTTACTCGTATATTATTTCACTTGTATTAGCCAAGAGGTCTTGATCTAGGGGCTAGTCTTGAAGGATTCCTTGAGTGCTGCTGTTCTGTGGCTTGAGCGAGTGAAGGAACACTGGTTTAATTATAGAACCTTGTAACCAGAGGGGACCTTTTGAGATCAGCTAAGTTGAGCTGCTTGTTTGATGCCTAGGAAACAAAGACCAAGAAGCCCAACGTCATGTAGCTCTTATGTACCAAGTTTTTTTTCTTTTTTAAGATTTATTTATTTTATTACAAAGTCAGATATACAGAGAGGAGGAGAGATAGAGAGGAAGATCTTCTGTCCGATGATTCACTCCCCAAGTGAGTGCAACGGCTGGTACTGTGCCGCTCCGAAACCGGGAACCAGGAACCTCCTCCGGGTCTCCCACACGGGTGCAGGGTCCCAAAGCTTTGGGCCGTCCTCGACTGCTTTCTCAGGCCACAAGCAGGGAGCTGGATGGGAAGTGGAGCTGCTAGGATTAAAACCAGCGCCCATATGGTATCCCGGCGTGTTCAAGGCGTGGACTTTAGCTGCTAGGCCACCGTGCCGGGCCCCCAAGTTGTTTTTGATGCTGCTTGATCCATAAATATTTACTGAGTGCTGACCTGTAGGAGATCTTACTTTTGCAAAGTAAGGATAAAATGGCTACTTTTCAGTGGGATAGAGGAGCAGGCTGGCATGGACTCCTACCTGGAAATCAAGAAAACGAACATTTTTCTTGATCTGTGAGACATTTATCCAGATGTTCTCTTTGTAATTTGTCTTTGGTGATATCCTTCTGGAGTTACACACACAAATAGCACTTTGCCATTTGGTCACATTATATAGTCAAGAAATATCAGTTTTCTAAAACAATTAGTATTCACTATTATTAAATCTTTTGTTATTTATTTATCTCCCTTATTAGTCTCAATTACTAAAGTGTAGTTAATTTTGTTTGATTGTTTTTCCTCATTGATGAATATTTAGTGTGTTTTGATGACAGTGATTAAATAATCTATTTCTTCTACCTTAGGATTTATTGGTCTTACTGGATTTAATTGGAGCTCCAAACCCAACATTTCCCAACTTTTTTCCAAACACTGCCAGATGGTTTAGTAGACTTAAAGCAATCGGTAAGACTCTTTTTCTGAAAGTTCTTATTTGCTTGTTTTATTCATTATTCAAAAAAAGTAGAGAGAGGGAAAGAGAGGGAGAGACTGTGAGAAAGTTCTCCTTTCTACTGGTTTACTTGGCAAGAAGCCTGCAGGCCAAAGCCATCAGTCGGGAATTCTGTTTGGATCTCCCGTACCAGTGACAGGGACCGAACTCCTTGAGACCTGTCTGCCTCCTAATGTTCATTTGTAGGAAGACAGAGTGGAAGTGGATCTTACCCTAAACCCAGGCATTCCAATATTGGATATGTTCAGGCTATGTATGTTTTCTCTTTTTAAGGATTTATTCATTATTTTTATTGGGAAGGCAGATTTATAGAAAGAAGGAGAGCCAGAAAGATCTTCCATCACTGGTTCACTCCCCAAGTAGCTGCAATGGCCTGAGCTAAGCTGATCTGAAGCCAGCAGCTTGTTTCAGATCTCCCATGTGGGTACAAGGTCCCAAGGGTTTGGACTATCCTCTACTGCTTTTCCAGCCACAAAGAGGGATCTGGAAGGGAAATGGAGCAGCTGGGTTACAGATTGGTACCCATATGGGATCCCGATGTATGCAAGGCAAGGATTTTAGCCACCAGGCCACTGCGCCAGGCCCTCAGACTATGTTTTAACTGCTCTGCCAAATGCTTCCCCATAACTGTTTTTAAAGCTTTATGCTTTATTTCTTCCTATTGAAATATGATAAATGTAAAACTTAAAAATTTATGATTTAAATGTGTAAGAAAATTTTTTCCTCTCTTCACTGATTTATTATTCCTATTCACTTCTTTTAGTAGGTCTCATTTATTCTCCTACATGAAACTATATTTTTGATTTGAGACATACCATATTGTATTTCATATTTGGATATCCTAAGAAAGAAATTCATGGTATTGTCCTAGGAGTTGTGTTTGAAACTTATGAAATGCATTTCTAGGGGAAATTGACTAATGGTGAATGTCACATCCTTATAATGGTACCCTAAGATATTCTTTATTTTCAACCACTGTCTTTGTCATGCCTAATTTTAGCTTAAGCAGACAGTATTTTCCTTTAAGTCTAGTGCAAGCTCTGTCAATTTTCTGAAGATGCAAGAGAAATGCAGATTCTTCCAGAAGATTGAGAGTTGGGTCCAGGAGAGTAGAGCAGGCTAAGCTAGGCCAAGCCAACAGATGTCTGTGGATAAGACAGGTGACTGGGGTGCTTGAGGAAGGAAACGAATTTCTTTGCATGATACATCCACCCCTCTCCTAAAACAAAGCAAAGCGCAGCAAATCCTTCAGGCCTCAGAGAAGTCCATAACGCGCGGGTCTTTGTTATAACAATCCAGTCCTGGAAGCTGCCGTTTTTTTAAAATCTTTTTTTTTTTAAGGCAAGAACTTCAGTGCTGGAAATTCCTTCCTGGCCACACATGCTTCTTGGAACAAGATAGAATAATATTACTTTTGAGTAGTAATTCTTAATTTACGCTTTTGCTGTAAGAACTGGTTGATATCTAGACCTAGGATCTAACAAAAAAACCTTCTATCTAACCTTCAGGAGGTTCTCTTTGGTAAATTTGAATTCCTAGTTTGGAAGAAGTATTTCTGTGGAACTGGAACATGAACTCAGTGGGCCTATTCCTTACAGGTGTTTTCCTCACTTGATGGTAACCTTAAGTTTGGCTTTCTTTGGAGGAGTTTGTTGGCTTTTCCTATGTCCTGTAACAGAACGAACTGATGGCAGTAACTTGTACTTTACTGCAGCATTAATCCATTGTACTGCTACAGGTGCTTCAAACTGTATCTCTAAATATGTAAAAGAAAAGTTGTAGCCCGTGGCAAAGGAATGACATATCAACAAACTGAAAAGAATATGGTGTTTTTAAACTTAGCAATTAAAAGCCCCAGCTAGCCCAGGAAGTTTCAGTTGGTTGTTTTCCAATCTTGCGATTTTTTTGTGAGATGATCAGAGCCATTGGAATATGAGCCAGTAATGCTCAAACTATTGTGCACCTCAGAATTGTCTACGGGGCTTTTTGCAACATAGATTGTTGGGCTCCATCCCCAGAGTTTCTAAGTAAATAATTATCTGAGCACCTCGATCGTTTGCATCACCAACGAGTTCCCAAATGATGTTGCTGCTGCTGATGTAGGTCACAATAGCATCCCATCCCCATTGATGACTTGATAGATTTCACCTCCACTCTGTTGGACTGTTCAAACCCTCGAGCAGCATCTCTTTTTATTATTATTATTTTTAAGATTTACTTTATTATTTTTTCATTGGCAAGGCGGATATACAGAGAGGAGAGACAGAGAGGAAGATCTTCCGTCCGATGATTCACTCCCCAAGTGAGCGCAACGGCCGATGCTATGCCGATCCGAAGCCAGGAGCCTCTTCTGGGTCTCCCACGCAGGTGCAGGGTCCCAAGGCTTTGAACCATCCTTAACTGCTTTCCCAGGCCACAGGCAGGGAGCTGGAAGGGAAGCGGGGCTGCCGGGATTAGAACCGGCGCCCATATGGGATCCCGGGCGTGCAAGGCGAGGACCTTAACCACTGCGCCACCGCGCCGGGCCCGAGCTGCATCTCTGTTTAAGGCATGCTTTTTGCTAGGTCTGGGCCCATAAGCGTCTCTACCAGCGTTCCCATTTTCCACTAGTTTTCTCCCTTTTTCTCCTCATTATTCTTAGTTTTCACCTTGAAAAGGGTTGTTCCCTGTAAGATTAGAGCCGGGAGTGACTGTTCTCTCCTATCCCAAAATGTGCACACTCAAGTTTGATTCCAAAATTTGTAATGGGTGTGATCATACTCAGAACTTACCATACTTTTAGAATGATGACCATAGGCATTAAGACTTTAAACTCCTCGAATAAGAATGCGTTCTGAGTCTTGATTACATCAAATATTCATCGACCTGAATACTTATCCTTTGCAGAACAAGAACTTTATGAATTGAATTTGCTCAAGGATCACTCTTTGGAGAGGCAGTATTTCCAGGACTTTGGTTATGGAGGTGTGATTCAGGATGACCATATACCATTTCTAAGAAAAGGTAATACATGTGTGTATGTCTGGTGGGTTTTTTGTTTGTTTGTTTGTTATTTACTTCATATGCATTTTGAGATTGCAAGTACGTATCTGTTATCCACATTTAAGTGAAAAATAAGATCCTATTTCAGCCTTTGCCTCTTCCTGGGCCTTGTTTAGTCCCTGGTGCAGGCACACTGTTCTCTGGCAGGGATGCTCTTCAGGGCTCATCCTGTTTAGCTTTGAGGAATGAAGGAGACATGGGAGGAATTGGGGCCTTCTGAGGCAAACACTATTCTTAAAGATTGCAGCACATTTTTATCCTTGCTTCCATGATTTTTCATAAGAACTGGAGTTATCTTTTAAAAATTATTTTAGAGCTCTAGTGACTTGCCATCATTTTAAGTAAGACCGTGCATTTTTACCAGGCCCTAGAAGGGTCTCCATTTTCTGACTCCGTTTTCTCTCTTCAGTGTCATTCCCACCTCCAGCTGTTGCTCTGATCCCGCCACACTGGCCCTTTTTTTTGCTGATTTTTAAACAAGGCCAGGCACACTGTATGCCTCAGGTCCTTTCTGATACTTCTGCGGGGAATGCTGCTCCCAGCAGTGCTTGGTGCGCCTTCCCCTTGGGTTTCTCTGTGACAGGGTCTCAGGAAGGTCTTCTCATCTGGCCCTGACTGTATATTCCCTTACTTTATTGTCAAATAAAAGCTTATCAAATCTAAGCTTTTTTTTCCTTTTTCACAAAGTATTTACTTATTTATTTATTTGGAAGACAGAGATGTCTCCCATCCTTTAGTTCACTCTGCAAAGCCTGCAACAGGTGGGCCTGGGCTAGGCTGCGAACAGGAGCCCAGGAACCAATCAGTGCTCCCACCTGCGTGGCAGGGCACTCAGACTGTTACCTGTTGCCTCCGTGTAGTGGTAGGGAGCGGGTACTGCTGTGGAATGGAGGCTCGCGGCCTGGTACTCTGATGTAGCATGTGGGCATTCCACATGACGTCTTAACCCTGGTGCTGTGTCTGGCCCGCTAAACATTATGTTCTAGATATTTTTACTTTTTTTCCTCTTGGAATGAAAGAAGGGCTTCCTGTGAGAAGGGCTTTGCCTTTTAGCTAATGAAACACCTACACGTTGAACAGGGGCTGCTCGGTAGCAGGTGCTTTGCAATTATTTACTGCATTAATATTTGTTGTGTGAGTCAATGATCTTGGAGTACAAGGGTGGCATGTGCAGTGTGTAGGGGATGACGAATATTCAGGCGTTTGTCTATGGTAGAGCTCCCTCTGCTTGCAGAATAACACTTTCTAGCTCGCTCGCTGGGGACGTGTTCTTAATTACAAGTCTGTTCTTTGCTATTAGGCGTTCCAGTTCTGCATCTGATACCATCTCCTTTCCCTGAAGTTTGGCACACGATGGATGATAACGAAGGAAATTTGGATGACTCCACCATTGACAATCTAAACAAAATCCTACAAGTTTTTGTGTTGGAATATCTGCATTTGTAATTTTGATTTTAGTTTATTTAGTAATTATGGTAATTGCTTTTAAATTCACAAGTCAAGGTTTTCAGTACTCTGGTTCCAGACAGATGCTGTGTGAAATTTCTATCCTATAGATTCATTTTGGAGGTGTCTTTGATTAATGTAATCAATGAATCATAGAATTATATTGTGGCCCAAATTGCATATTGATTTTGATGTAGAGATTAAAAGAGAGAACATGTGAAGGAAAAAGAAAAATATTTTAAAAACTTGTTGAACTAAGTGAAATTAGATTGATTTAATAGAATTCTCTTCTAAAACAGTGTATAAAAATAATGATATTGTACAATATGTAGCCTTAGCTTTATGACTTACCATATTTGGCAATCTATTATGTATACCACAAAAGAAACAGTTTGAAGGTTCTCAATTTTCTTTTAGAAATATGTTGGATTAATTTCATGGAAATGAAAATAAGAATTAAATAACATGTTGTAAATTTCTTTTTTATATGCATTAAAGAATTATACAATTTAATGCGGTTCAGTTTTTTTAGTTTTACAAATTTAACTTTTTTTTTTAAAAAAGGTTTATTTTATTTTTATTGGAAAGTCAGATACACAGAGAGAAGGAGAGACAGAGGAAGATCTCCCATCTGATGACTTACTCCTCAAGAGGCTGCAACGGCCACAGCTATGCTGATCTGAAGTCAGGAGCCAGGAGCTTCTTCTGGGTCTCCCACACGCGTGTGCAGGGTCCCAAGGCTTTTGGCTGTCCTCAACTGCTTTCCCAGGCTGCAAGTAGGGACAGGGAAGGGAAGTGGAGCTGCCAGGATTAGAATTGGCACCCATATGGATCCTGGCAGCATGTGCAAGGTGAGGACTTTAGCTGCTAGGCTACCAGGCCAGGCCCAAAATTTAGCATTTTTATTTAAAAACTTACATAGTCAGTAACAAAAATATTGGGAAATGGATAAAAGAATAAAACTACAAAAAACCCTATAATCCCATTATATTAATAGAATCGTTATCTGCTTAGGTTTTCCTCACATTTTAAAATTATAGTAATTATAATTGTGTAGTTTTGTGGAACTGTAGTCACTGAACTTGTATTTGGTGTTTTGATGCAGAAATGCAGACAGAAAAGAGTGTTGAGTGTGAACTTTTGAGTCAATATTAAGGTTTCATCGTGCTAGCAAAGTAGTCATGATGTGAGGCGAAGTTCCGTGGTATTTGAGTTTGTTGAGCTGATAACGGCAGTTTTGCCCCCTGTGAAGACGCAAGCATTTACCGATTGTTTTCACCCGTAGGGAGCCCAGACACAGAAGCACAGACTTGGTCAATTTACCCATTAGGAAACTGCTCCTGCTACCCAGAGGAAGTTAGGGCGTCTGCTTGCTGTGTGTTCCTGTTCAGGGCAGACACTGTCTGCTGTACTGGGACCGAGTAGAGAGAAGGCCAGACAAGGGGAACAGTAAAGCAAGGGTGGTTTCAAACTCAGTGGCAAGGGAGTCGTTGTGACACGCTTCCAGGTAAGAAAGAGAGAAATGCAATCTTATAAGAATATGTATAATATATAAATATTACATGTATTTGCTTTACACTTGTGACACTGTTGTTTTAGATTTTCCCATAATTTCTTTTTATTTGACAAATCTAAAATTATATAAAGAGATGGTGTGCATTTGTGAGTTAATTATCAAGAGAGGTTTACTTGTTTCTGACACATAATCTTCGCAACATCTGTGAGCCTATTTTATGATGATTAGTTAAGTGTAGCTTGCCAAGCAGTGGTAGAAGTATTTGAACCCAAGCAGTCTAGTTCTAAGGCTTATACTCTGAATAATTATAAAGTTTTTCATTTGTATGTTTAAGCTACTTTCTAGAATATTCTTAATACCAACAGTTGTATCTTGAAATTCTTACGTTATGGGACTGGTGTTGTGGTGCAGAGAGTTAAGCTGCTGCCTGCAGTGCCAATATCTCGTATACGCTCTGGTTGGAGTTCCAGTAGTTCAGCATCTCATGTGAGCTCTGGTTTGAGTTCCAGCCGTTCCACTTCCAGTTCAGCTCCCAGTACACCTGAGAGAGCCCTGCAAGGTGGTCCAAGTATTTGGGCCCCTTGCAAATGATGTTGAGACCAGGGTAGAGTTCTAGGTTCCTGGTTTCATTCAGCCTGACCCAGCCGTGGCCATTGCTACCATTTGGGGAATGAGGATCTTTCTATTTCTCCCTTTCTCTCTGTAACTGCCTTTCAAATATATGCATAATCTTAAAAAAAAAGGGAGAAATTTTTGTTCTTATGTTATTGAGTCTGGGAAAGCACTCCTTTTTAAAAAATATGTTTCCTTTTTAAAAGCATCCCTCCCTCACCCCGCACCCCCCAGTGCTTTGGCATAAATAGGCTAAGCCTCTGCTGGTGGCACCAGTATTTCATATGAGCATCAGTTTGTGTGCTGGCTGCTCCTACTTATAGCCTGGGAAAGCAGCAGAAGATGGCTCGAGTCCTGGGGCCCCTGCACCCACTTGGGAGACCCAAAAGAAGCTGGGCTTGGATTGACCCTGCCGTGGTTGTAGCAGCTATTTAAGGAATGATCCAGCAGATGGAAGATGCGTTTCTCTGTCTCTCCTCTCAATAACTCTGCCCTTCAAATAAAAATTGAAAATATTAAAAAAGAAATATTTTTTTGAGAGGAAGGGAGTGTATGTGAGGGGAACAAATAGAGACAGACACAAACACAGAGCAGTTTCTTGTCTGCTCAGATTTGCTCCCCAAATGCCAGGTCTACCCTGTGGGGGGGGGCGTCGTAGAAATGGAGTGAACTTGGTCTATGACTGCTGTCTGCCAGGGCCGGCATTAACAAGAAGTTGGAGTCACAACTGGAGCTGGGCAACAAATCCTGGCACGCTGATGTGGGTGTCTCCCATCCAAGTACTAACCAGGCTTGACCCTGCTTAGCTGCCGAGATCAGACGAGATCGGGCGTGTTCAGGGTGGTATGGCCGTAGACTGACGTGGGTGTCTTAACTACTAGGCTAGATGCTTGCCCCCGGGAAAGCAGTCTTAAAGTATTGTTGCTGTGGTTGATCTGACAATGTTAGGCTTCAGAGGCGGCTCATTTCCATGTAGGATTATTTCTCTGCCATGGGAGAGGCTATTTTTGCATTAGCATGGGCATGACAGAAACCAACATGAGTGGTTCCAACAGCTAAAGAATCTAAGCCACAAAGTAGGATTAAAGGGAGCTGACATTCTGGATTAATTTTTGGATGTGAGAAAGCATTTTAAAAAATACGGAAAAAGATATGCTGTAACTGATCATGTTAAATCAGAGCGAGATGAAATTTAAATAAGAAACTCAAATATTAGTTGCCAGTACTGCATATATAATTTGAAGCCTGGATTATAAGGTCCTTTTGAGGCAAAAAGCAATTAATAGGGGATGTATTCTAATATGTTGAGTTGGCATTAGTTGAATTATTTTTATAGGAAGTTGAGAGATAGGTTGAAATTGGATGAAAGGAAACATAAAAATATAAGCAGCTTAATCCAATGACCATTTCCTTCCTTCCAAAATACACATTATAAAATTCTATTCACTAAAGAGTTTGCATTAATATGATAAAAGCAATCATGATGTCATAAAGGGAGACAGTTTAAGGTATTAAGCTTGCTATTAATCTCTGAAATATAATTCACGTATAATTCACGCAATCAGAAGTATTACTTTTCAAAAATTATAGCAGTGAAGGCTGTGTTTCATAAGCATGATGCTGCATTTGGAATTTTTCTGTGTGCATTTTGGAGTGTTTTACTGTCCCTAAGAGAGCAGTTTGTATGCTTTGTCTGTTACAGGCAGCCCTGCAATACATAGGGCTATTTTTCTTCTTCAAGAGAAATGAGTTCAAAGGCGAAATTCATAAAAGCGCATTCATAATCTTGGCATTAAAAAAATACCATGAACCTGTTCTTGGAGCTTGAGGGTTGTGCTGGAGGAGAAAAGGCAGATCCTTCAAGATGGAGGAACAGTTCAGATAGGGAAGCAGTTGCCCTAAGAACAAAGCAACCCATGCTTCCAGTTCCAGCTCCAAACCCTTAGGCATTTGACTGCATGAAGCTTTATCTGCCATCAAAGAAATACATTCATGACGGTGCTGTAGCAGAATCATGTGAACACGAAACATTTGCGCCTTCACTTCGGCCCAGCTGGAAGCGATTACTGTGTGCAGGAAGAAGGAATGGACAAGACTCCTGACACGTCCCATTTATGTCATGAACAGGCAATGGATGTCCCAGTAGGTTTTGTGGGAAAAAAGTCAACTTCTTGGTAGGACCTAAATCTGAGGAGTGAAGGTGTAGGGATCAAGGCAAATAAAGACAAGAAGAGGAGATGATTTGAGGCAGCCACAATGATTTAAAGCAAAGCCAACAGAGGAAATTTGGGGAGAATGTTTAAATTTGTTATTCCTAATGGCATGAGACTGTGTTTTGATAGCCAGCCTACCCACCAACTTTTGGTTTCAAAGATGAGCGTTGGAATGATTGAGGTTTCATTCTGCACTTCAGGGCCCTTTCTACCCAGTCTGAAATTCTGAAAGTCATTTTGAAGTGATTTTAACTGCCTGCCCTTACTTCCCCCTTCTGTCTCACTTCTCTGACTCCCTGGTGCATCCTTTGCAGTGTTCAAGAGTGAAATTCTTGCTGGGTTGAGAGGGGGATATGGCGTTGTGTGAAACCGCTGCCTTGTTTCATGGAAGGCTGACATGGAGAGGAAAGGTTGTTGGCTGGCTGAGGCAGTGGGGGTGGTATAGGATACCCCCCAAAATCCTCCTCAACATGGAAATTGGCCCCAGATTCCTGGCAATGCATCCAGCAGCAATAAGTTCTGACAGTTGTGAAGAGAGCTGGGATAAAAGGGCTGTCTCTGTCGTGGCTGCATCCCTTGGCCCGAGTTTGGTTGGCGTGCTCACGCGATGTGAAGTCATCTTGTTGTGCTCATATTTCAAAGGCAGCCCGTGGAACAAGTCCCACTCTCCCAACATATCCAAATTTGTCGGTGGAGAGTTTCGACCATTTGCATGAGAATTAATACTAAGTGCACAAAATAACCAAGAAGGAGGAAATGACACAGCTTGAAGCTAATGCAAACAAATGAACAGAAAGAAAACCCAAACATATTTACAAAGATTACAAAGGTAGCATGAAATGTAGATTTAAGAGCCAATAAATTATAAACAGCACAGGAAACGTTAGTCTCTGAAACTTCCTTAGTGCTATGCGGTGCCAGAGGGCCTTGGCAGTTGTGGATTTAACATTTGTGGTTTTGGCTGACAAAGAATGAATGACATGCAGTAAATCATATGAACCAAGAGATTGGCGTGGAGAAGTGAGTGAGCACAGTTGACTGTCAGCCATCGAGCTCACTGTTGTTCTCTAGTCATCCTTGCCGTTACACTTGGAAGCAATAAATCCATGTCTTTGTAACAATGAACCCCTTACCTCCTGCTCCCTCAGCCGGAACTGCTTTTGCTGGAGTTGTAGTTAAAGAAACATAGAAAAAGGTTGGCTGCAGAAAGTAACTGTAAAAGTGATTTTTAACTCTGAGTTGGTAGAATGAACGCCATGAAAAGATCACCTTAACAGTTGTTCTTTTTTTTTTCCCCCTCTTGTTTCCTTTTTAATAAGAAACATTCCATGCAATAATGGCATTGAAATGACTGTGGATATTAAGGACTCATATTGGGCCATGTTGGAGTAATGTAATATCAAGTAATTTATCGCAATAACTCTTAGATTCATATCCTCAATTTATAAAGAAGTGAACACAGACATCAGATTACTCTTGTTTGATGCTTACACTCTAGGGAACTGAATTTTTGATTCTGTGACTAATTTTAGCGAAGTTAAAAGGGGCCCTAGAGATTCTCTCTGGTTTGTTGGTTCTCAGCTGGTGCTAGAACCATCACTCTAGCAGTGCATTTGGAAGTGTGTGTGTGTGTGTGTGTGTGTGTGTGTGTGTGTGTATGTACGGTGGAATGGATAGTGAATGTTTGTCATAAAGAGTGGCTGGTGCTTCTTGCATTTAGTGTTCAGGGGCAGAAACAAATATTTAGAACAGTTTATGCAAAAAAGGAATTGTCCCACTCCACATTCCAATCTCCCCTGAGAATCACTGAATAGTTTTAACACACTCATTTAAAAAGTTCAGAGAGCAAGATCCAGAGACTTGAGAGCATGTGTAAATCTTTCAGCTGTAAGCGACAGAAAACTTCATTCAAACTTACATGAGCCAAAATATTAATTAATTTCCTTTCTCTGGTTCCAGCACAGCTGAATGCAGAACCTAGTATTTTCTTGTTGTATCTCATCTGCTCTCCTATGAGTAACTCTGACCTTAGCTATAGTATTTCCTCCTAGATGGATACTAGTAGCCACATGATCATATCCCTCTAATCTCAGTTTTAGTGACAGGAGAGTACCTGTGCCCTGTGCACCAGTTCCACAGGGTCTTAGCCTGATGGCCATTGGCCCA